TCTGTTCAAATCTAACAGTTTGCTTCTGTTAAACATTTTCTCTAGCCAGTTGGTCTGACTGAAATTGTGGACTGTCTACGTTCACTGAGTAATTTGCACTTGGTGTTGGTTTCATTCTGGGATACAATCAGTTTCACTTCAATTTTAATCTCAAGGATAATATTTTATACACTGATTTTGGAACATATGTAAATAGGTATTCAAAGAACTTCATAGGGCACTTAAAAGGAATTTGTGATCGAAGATGTAGAAAACTCTCAGACACTGCACCAATAGGGCTGTATAGAGGGAAACTTGCATTATAGTTCCCTTGAAACTGCAGACGCTGTTCTACAGAACCTGCTAGATATCTGTCTGTGGTCCATTACAGAATCATCTCGCACACTGCAAGAAGTGGGGCATTGGAGGGGAAAAACCCAATATTTTTGCTAAAATGACCGCTTCACACATTCTAACTTAATGCAGTAAATACACTCTTAAAAGTAGTATCCCTTAAATTCTTCATTTGAGGAAGTATTGGTCACACTTACAGGTGGCACTGTATATAAACTTAAACTTGTATAAATACAACTTGCTTACACTGAATAGTGAAGCATCGATAGAAATAGTGCAGTCTCAAATATCACTTTCACTACAAACTGCTGAGTTATATTTTGTACTGCCATGTCCCTGGCTCCTGGAATAGCTTCTGAGATGAGTTGTGACCATGCCACAATTCAACTTGTTGATATGGTGTAGTACGGAATTCATTTTAACAGTTTATTTACTAGCCCATACATTCCTTTATCCCAGGAATTGTGGTATAATCTCTTTGGTAGATTATAGGGGAAGTATATTTTATAGTTGTCAGACTAAACTTGCCAACCCCTTGAAGGTTTAAATCAGGAGTTCTCAAACTTGGGGTCGGAACCCCTCAGGGGCTTGCGAGGTTATTACATGGGGGGGGGGGGTATCACAAGCTGTCAGCCTCCACCCCAACCCTGCTCTGCATCCAGCATTTATAATGGTGTTCAATATTAAAGTGTTTTTAATTTATAAGGGGGGATTGCACTCGGGGGCTTGCTGTGTGAAAAGGGTCACCAGTGCAAAAGTTTGAGAATCACTGGTTTAATTAATTTAAAATACTGCATTTCAGCCGTACACTTACTGCAGTGCATGATGCCATTCTCGAAGATCTGGTCTTCCCTAGTGAAATTGTGGGCAAGAGAATCCGCGTGAAACTAGACGGCAGCAGACTCATAAAGGTCCATTTGGACAAAGCACAACAGAATAATGTTGAACACAAGGTAAGGAACAAACTTTATACTCTTCTCTGTAACACAAGGGTTGTGATGAGTCATAGCTGAGTGTAAAACTCAAAACTGCTGCAGTGGCAAGGGTGTGAGAACTATGCCCTGATTTTTTAATTACATTTTGGACTAAGGAGACGCTAATAGAAGGTTTAAAATCAAACTTTAGTTTGACTGCACTTGACTGCTTTACACTCTGCTTTTTGGTTAGCTGATTTGTGGTGACCTTTTTCCTACTTGCTCCCTCTTAGTATGAGTGATAGGAGATGGGCTTTTTATTTAGAATAAAACACTTGATCTTCAAAGCCAAGGCACATCATGGGGTGGGGAGGCAACATATCTGTGTGGCTCATTTTCAGCTGCCTTGTGGATTGAACAGCTCTGAAAGTCTGAGTCTGTTCTGCTGGCAAATCTATATGATTGATTAATGGGTTGAGTCTTAATGTTCTGCAGAACATTATCATCTCCCACATAAAGAATTCTGGGAAGTAATCTCTGTATGGAAGAATTTTCCTCATACCACCTTATCTTAAACCAAACTTTGCACCCTCGATAATCTGTATGTTATTCCCTGATAATCAGAAACTTCTGCGCTCAAACTCTGTTCACTAATTTTTTTTTTTAACATCTTAATAAAATTTCACTTAGTCTAATTTTTCAGGAAATGTGGCTTGGTTAGTGCTGGTACATAACTTAAAGAAAACGTGTTTAAAATGAGTGGGAAGCCTGTCCTTTCCTGTTGATATAGGATTTCTTAGCAGTAACTTAAACTATCCAAATCAAACTTGTAATAACATCAATTTTGAATGCTAGACTAAATTAGTTCCTGAATGCATTTGTCATCTTCACCAATATGGTCATCCATTGAGGTTACTTGTGGCTCTGTCCAAGTGGTATATGGGAGCATAGCCCTAAGTGCAGTGATATACAATCCCCTTCCACAGTGTTGAAGAGCAAGCCTGTCTCTGGTTCTAGAGCTGATGAGGACAGCATCCTATATATTTTTATAACTTCTCCGTCTCTAGACAATTACTGAGGAGAAACTATGCAGGTTGCAACTTGAAACATACTATAGTATGTGAAAACATTATCTACTATTTGAACTGTACAGCAGAACATGCAGCTTTTATAAAACCTATTGAAAGTAAACTAATGCTGTTAAACTTGACTTTCTTTCCAGGTGGAAACATTTTCTGGTGTCTACAAGAAGCTCACTGGCAAAGATGTTATTTTTGAGTTCCCAGAATTCCAGCTGTAAAGTAAAAGAATGACTGAATAAACAGTTTAATTGTTCATATTTTAAGCAATTTCATTAAACTAAACACTTTTATAAAAGCACACTACAGAAGGAGGAAGTAGCTGACATAGGTGACTGGTAATAGCTTGGCTATGGAACTTTCTAGTTTAACTGAGTTGCATCTATTAAAGTAGGTAAGAACTCATGTCACAAGTACCTAATGGTAACTAGGTAAGAGACTTCAGTTTCTAGGGGACATGTCCATATCCTAAATCACACAGAAAGCCTTGGTAGGGAAGTAAACTAAACAGGCCTAAATAATAATCCCTTTTCTGAGGATGAATTGGTCTGGCAAGGTTGTGCACGAAACCTTTAAACTCATGAGTTTTTTGCATTTATTTAAGAAACTCAGGTAGAACGGAAACCTACAATTCCTGAGGTTGGTGGGAACATTAACCTACATAATAAATACTTGACTTTAGATATGACAACCTTGTATGGGGCGGAGGCAGACAAAACTCCACGTGCTTATGGAACACAATTCTTAAACACCTATTTCAAAGGTCACAGGGATGAAATTTAAGCAGTGTTCTTCCCTGCAGATTAAGCTGTCTTGCTTTGCTGTAAATTGCAAAACTACTACTAATGGGAGAACATCGAACTACAATGCAGGTTTTGTCAGTCCACAGGTTCTAGATCTACTCTTGCAAGTCTGTAGGACATCAAAATAGATAAATATGGGTTTCTAGTTGCTTCACAGCTGGAGGGTTGTGCTAGACCCTGGGAGGTTGGTCAGTGGGATTTGTTTGAAGTGGTGTGGGGAAGCCTACATTGTTTACCTCAACAGCTTGAGGCATTGCTAATACTTCTGAAAGACAGATGGGCCACCTCTGAAATGGGTGACTTTTAAAAGTGTACAAGCAAGTCTAAGGCATAGGGTGACACTCCCAGTATGTAAACAATAACTGTCTTCCTGTGGGGTGGGGACTGACAGTTGAAGTCACTGGGAATCTGAGTTCCTAGCTAAGCAAGACTTCACTAAATATTAGGGCTGTCAATCACGATTAATTTTTTTAATCGCTTAATTGTGTGATTATACAATAATAGAATACCATTTATTTAAATATTTTTGGATGTTTTCTACATTTTAAAATACATTGATTTCAGTTACAACACCAAATAGAGTGTACAGTGCTTAGTTTATATTTATTTACAAATATTTGCACTGTAAAAAACAAGAATATTTTTCAGTTGCAAGTACTGTAGTGCAATCTCTTTATTATGAAAGTTGAATTTACAGATGTAGGTGTGTGTGTGGTTTTTTTTACACAATGTAAAACTGTAGAGCCTACAGGTCCGCTCAGTCCTACTTCTTGTTCTACCAGTTGCTCAGACAAACAAGTTTGTTTACATTTGCAGGAGATAATACTGCCCGCGTCTTTACAATGTCACCTGAAAGTGAGAACAGGCATTGGTTCACATGGGACTGTTGTAGTCCGCGTCACAAGATATTTACGTGCCAAATACCCTAAAGATTCATATGTCCCTTCATGCTTCAACCACCATTCCAGAGGACATGCATCCATGCTGATGACGGGTTCTGCTCGATAATGATCCAAAGCAGTGTGGACCAACGCATGTTCATTTTCATCATCTTGAGTCAGATGCCACCAACAGAAGGTTGACTTTCTTTTTTGGTGGTTAGGGTTCTGTAGTTTCCGCATCAGATTGTTGCTCTTTTAAGACTCCTGAAAGCATGCTCCACCTAGTCCCTCTCTGATTTTGGAAGGCACTTCTGAAACCTTGGGTCGAGTGCCGTAGCTATCTTTAGAAATCTCACATTGGTACCTACTCTGCGTTTGGTCAAATCTGCAGTGAAAGTGTTTTTAAAACTAACAGCGTGCTGGGTCATCATCCAAAACTGCTATAACATGAAATACATGGCAGAATGTGGGTAAAACAGCAGGAGACATACAGTTCTCCCCCCAAGGAGTTCAGTCACACATTTAATTAACTTGCTATTTTTTAACGAGTGTCATGAGCATGGCCTCTGGAGTGGTGGCTGAAGCATGAAGGGTTATATGAATGTTTAGCATATCTGGCATGTAAATACCTTGCAATGCCGACTACAAAAGTGCAAATGCCTGTTCTCACTTTTCAGGTGATATAAATAATAAGCAGGCGCATTATCTCCAGTAAATGTAACCAAACTTGTTCGTCTTCATGAATGGCTCAACAAGAAGTAGAACTGAGTGGACTTAAAGGCTCTAAAGTTTTACATTGTTTTGTTTTTTTTGAGTGCAGTTTTGCAACAAAAAAACCCTACATTTGTAAGTTGCACTTTCACAATACAGAGATTGCACTGCAGTACTTGCATGAGGTGAATTGAAAAATACTAATTTTGTTTTTAGAATGCAAATAATAAATATAGTGAGCACTGTACACTTTGTATTCTGTTGTAAGTGAAATCAATATATTTGAAAATGTAGAAAGACATCCAAAAATATTTAATAAATTTCACTTGGTATTCTATTGCTTAACAGTGCTATTAATCAGTTTTAATCAATTATTTTTTTTCAGTTAATCACATGAGTTAAGTGTAGTTAATAGACAGCCTTACTAAATATCCATGCTACTTTAAACAGTTGACTGTCATCTCCACTGAATGTGGAGTAAGGCATCACATTTGCCCAGAGCAATATCTGATTTCTACTTTTGCAAGTGTCCTTCCTGTTGTTGCAATCGGCATTCAATTAGAAGGAAGAATTAACATTTACCTCCCTGTCTTCTAATCTATCTTAAGAGCTTTGGTGTTTAAAAAACAGGGCCCATGGGGAAAGCTTACTAGCAAACATCTTTTCCTAGCTATTGAGTGGCTCCAAGTGGATCCTTTCCTTGGCCATTCTACAGTTTGATTTTACTGCCACCTTTTTTTCCCCTTGCTCCCATTTTCCACTGTCTTAGCAATCTGTTCCTTTCCTGAAGCTGTGCAGGAGAAGGACTTTGTTGCTTGCAGCTTGGGTTCACCCAGCATGCCCTCTCTTAGTAGGACAGAAGCAGCCTTGTATTCTATTAAGAGGCACCAGCTGCTCACTGTTATCAATACTGCTGAAGGAATGGAACAATTCTGCAGCAGCAAGGGAACTCCTCAGCATTTTTGTGGGTGTTAGTGTTTTTTCCCCTTTCATCATCCCCCCCACCCCCTGGTGCCTGGAGTGTATAGGGCACTATCTTACCTTCAGTGGAGAGGGCCAAACTCTACTTCTAATTGTGGTGGTAGTTTATGGGGTATAAATTTGACTATATGCTACCATCTAAGCGCATGATGCTCACTGATTATATGAGGGAAATGTACAGGAATCAAGGGTGGAATTGGCTTGAATAAGTGCCAGTTAATACAGTGTCAATTGAGGAAAATATACCCACCATCACTACTTCCCTCTTTCATGTCTGTCTCCTGTTCTTCCCTGCAGTAACTTAAAATTCTTATCTCCTTGGTTTTAATCCAATCCCTTTTTCATTTCATTCACTAAGACTATTAGTGATGTCTAATGAAGTGTTTTGGATTTCAAATTTTATGCTCCAATTAAGTTAATAGAAGACAGGAGCCCTAACATTGTCTGAAGCTGCCTGTAGACTCACAACAGCATCACTGCATTAGTTCATATTTGGAAGGCTTTTAGCAGCCTAGAAACTTCAGAATGTAGCATCCATTATTAATAAAAACAAATGTCCCAAAGGCCACAAATACAAGCAGGTTGAATTTGGTTTCTGAGCCATCTGTTGGACAGTCTTGCTACAAGGATCAAGAGTAGCACCTCTCTTCTTAAAACATCTTTAGAGCAGTGGTTTGCAACCTTTTTTTTTTGTGGGCAGGCCCTAAATGGAGGTGTGGACCCCTTTGGAAATCTTAGACATAGCTTGCCCACTGTGATAGAGTGTGGGCAGACACTTGCCTGACAATTGAGGTTGATATTTGGGAAGGCAGCGTGTTCACAGGCAGGCTAGTAATGGGGTTCTCCTCCTCTGTGATCAAAATTGCTGGTTTTGAGTCAGTAACCCTTTGCAGTCTCATCAGCTGGTAGCTTGCCTACTCGTTAAGGTGGAGTGGGTCGAGTGTGTGTGTGTGTGGGGAGACCTTGTCTCTTACAGAAAACTTCTGACAGAGCAACATGTTCAAAGATTAGTACATCTATGTATTGCAGTTCAGATGTGCAGGCCTCACTCTCAGCATTCTAGTTGCCCACTAGTACTGTAATGTCTGAGCATCTCACAATTTATAAACTCTTTATTCCCACCCTGTTCCCCTGTGAGATAGGGAAGTGCTATTATCCCTTGTGCTTTAAGTGACTTGCCCAAGGATACATGGGAGACCTTGCTCTTACTAAATCCTATGCTAGTGCCCTAACTACATCCTCTTCATTTTAGAAAGCTTGCAGAACCTTGGAGCTGAATTAGAATTTTATAAATGGTTTACAAATAATTTATATTAGGTTTAAAAACTGGCACAATCCCACTCTAATGAAATCCCAGTAGACTAGATTGTCATTAGCTGTAACATGGCTGAGTAGGTAAGGACTCTGCCCCCTTCCTGGCCACACTGCCTCAATTGCACCTTTGGCCACAAGTTGGGTAAACAGGATCCATGGAAGTGGTTCTCATGCTGAGGAAGTGGGTAGAGCTGTAGCTTTGGCATGTCTCCCCTTGTCCCTCTTGCACTGATTACTAGAATTGGACAGAGGAATAAGTAGCACCCTGAAAAGTGCTGCAGTAACTTACATTACACTGTCCCAGAGTAAGAGGGGGGGAGCAGGGGAAGAATTGACACTCAATGTCTCCTGGTAAGCTGTTCCCTACACAAAGTTGAGCCTAACTGCTTCCTCTAGCCATTGTTTGGGTTTGTGGACTCTCTTGTGCCCTAGAAGAGGAAAGTTTCTTACTGGAAGATTTCTTTCCTCACAGCACGCAAATGCACAGATCCACACTGCCCCATTAATTACTGCAATCAAGTTTCTCTCTTTTATGGGCTTTGCAACAAGTTGCTATAGTCACAATTAAATGATAAATTTACTGTTTAGCCAGCAAGCGCTCTCAACTGTGGACAGTATTGCACTGGCAAGCTCTTCAGGAGGAAGCACGTCCCTCTGTGTCTCTGACTCAGATTTGATTTGTCTCCAGAGCAGCAAGGGAGAGACTGGGTATGTCTGCACAGCAGTTGTGCAGGTGCTTCCCATCATGGGTAGACAGACACATATTAGCTCTGCTAGAGCTAGTGCGCTAAAAATAGCAATGTGCTGGTGGTGGCTTGGACTAGCCATCTCAATATGCACTTGGGGTCACATGGGATCGCACTTGGGTGACTGGGCTGAGCTGCCCCTGTGGCCACACTGCTATTTTTAGTGAGATCTGCTTGAGCTATCGTGTCTGTATAATCATGCTGGGAATTTGCTGTGCTGACATACCGTGAGGGCAAGATTTATAAAGGTATTGAGGTGCCTAAAATTGAAGATAGGTGGATATTCAATCTGCAACTGTAGGCATCTCAATACCTTTATAAATCTGGCCTTAAAATTCAGTGGTTGTTATATTAACCTTTTCCTTCTGATATTTTCCATGTTTGTAGATCCGTGTTGGTAGCAATGGTGGGAATACTAATGTAAGATCAGCTTTGTTTGTTTCCCATCGTAAAATGGGGATGATAATACTTATCTCACAGGTGTATTAATGCTTATGAAATGTTCTAAGATCCTCAGAGGGTAGGGTCCCAGATTTATCCCCAGATTTTTCTTGGCTCTGAATAGCCCTCTATCTCAGTGGTTCTCAAACTTTTCTACTGGTGACCCCTTTCACATAGAACACCTCTGAGTGTGACTCCCTCTTATACATTAAAAACACTTTTTATATATTTAACACCATTATAAATGCTGGAGGCAAAGCGGGGTTTCAGGTGGAGGCTGACAGCTCGTGACCCCCAGCTTGAGAACCCCTGCTCTACCTGCTATTATCTATTTCCTGTATTGCCATTCTTATCTATTACAGTGCTTTCCTATCTGCTTCATGCAGGGCCAAAGTGTGTTTAGATACTGGCCCAAATGAAGAGTAGCATAGATTTGCACTGCCACAGGGTGAGCACAAGACGGTACATTCCTTTTCTGAATGGCCCAAAGGGCAGGGGTTCTGCACTGGCTGCACCACAAGCGAGCTGCTGCACAGGAGGGCAGGATCACAGAGCTGCTGCCTCCCTCCCTGCCCCTTTGTGTGGTGCTGAGTGCCCACAGAAGAATAGAGGGAACAGTTACTACTCTCTGAAGTACTGGAATTGTATTTGTGACGCTCTCACCAGGGGCAGCGTGGTTAAAACTGTTTGATTTATTATTTTAAATAGTTGAAAGTGGTTGATGGGTTTTGTTCCCTAGGCAGAACTTTCTCCATAGGGTGTGATCCTGCACTCCATTGACTTCAGTGGGAGTCGTTTCAACTGGGTTAAGATCACCCTCAGTCTTTTCTATTTATTTATTTATTTATTTTAAGAAGTGGGTTTAGGGGCCAATCCTTTATTCCATGTGCAGGGTGAACTCCCGGTGATTTTTGGGAAAAGCACCTTCCAGCTTTCAAGTGGTTTTGTTTGATTATTTTTTCTTCTTCTCGTTTCCTGCTAGGAAATCTGCCCTTACCTCTCCGTTAGAGAAACCATTTCTATCTCCTTAAATGAACCAAAGTCATTAATGGTTTCTCTTTCTTTTTTCCCCCTTTTCTTGGGAAAAAAGCACTCAGGAATGCATTCTCATTACAGTGCCTGGTCTTCCCCTTAGCACTCTTTGATTTTAAAAAAAATTTTTTTGCTTCTTTTATTCAACCTTTCTATATTCTTATTTACTTGTAAATCCCTTAATGTTTAATATCTCCTTTGCTGCTAACTTTCTTCAAAGATTTTTGATTCTCTTTATACTTCCCTTCTTGTCTCTCAAAGTTGTCTTTATGTAGAGAGATTTAAATATGTATGTAAATATATGTTGCATTTCTTCTTCAAACACGATCTTCAAAGACTTGAACTGAATTCATTTTGCTGCATTCTCTATGTCAAACAGTTTCCTTAGCATTCTATTGGGAGCATTGCTATTTGGACCCAATTCTGTGTAATGCTAATTGCCTCTTTATTGTCATTGAAGTCAGTGGCACTTCTTACGTAAGTAAAGGTAAATAGGATTAGACCCTTAATTTGACATTGTGGCCTTTCTACATTTACATTTGTATGTCCCCTCTCTTTGAGCTTTTGCACTGACATAATTTTACCATCATCTAGTCAATTATTGAATAATAATAAAAAAAAGTGGGTTGTTTGCCAGGTTCCAGCCTAATGTGGAAATTAAATAGCCAAGAGATTAAACCCCAAGGATCTACATTTATAATGGAAAAAGCTGTTCAGACTTTTAACTCTAGCTGTGCAGTTGATCTTTCTGTAAGAAACTTTACATTGCAAGTTACCAACAAATGTACGAGCCCTTTGTTAGAGACTAGTTAATTGTTCGTATAATGTGGGCCACAGTTGTTGGTTGTGGTGACAAAAAGGGGGGAGTAGGTTTTTTTTAATGAATCTGCCTTTGCACATCCAAATGGCTCCCTAAGGGCTTTGTTAGTGATACTGACTGTACAAAAATGCACATGAGGCTTAATCCTGAGCTGTGCAAAGCATGAGCTTGACAAAGCTTGTGCAGGTGTAGTGGGAAGGGAGACAAAGGTGTCTAAGTCACCTTTTATGTCCTCCTTGATCATCTGTCCAACAATGGCCAAGATCAGTCAGAATGCAATGGACTTATCTCTGATCGTCCCTGATGTGCCGCCTGTGCTGAGGGTAGGAGAGCCAGCGACAATGACTTCAGAACACCTGAGGATTCCCATTGGCAAGGTGACTTTTTGGGTGTTCCTTTAGGACCATGGGGGGCAAATCTGATGCTTAAAGTATGTATGAATTACTTCTCTCGGCACTGAAGTGCCATTATATACCGAAGGGTTAAAGTGTGATAACTGTTTAAGAGTGAACAGCAACAACATAATAGACCAATTCAGGAGTTATACTGTAGAATTTCTGAATGTTCTACTCCCTCAACAGGCATGGAACTTCCCTTTGTCAATGGGTAGTTCCATATGGGTAAAGAAAACAGAAAGGCTTGGAAGAGACCAGCCATGTGGAGAATTGAGTATTTACATTATTGTGCAGTGTGTGGAGCTTTTGCTCTTTAAACAGTGGCATGCTTTACTCCAGAAGTGAAAAATACTGTAGCCAGTTGCAAAAATAGGTGAAATTGGGGTAGGCAAAGAATGTATTAATTACATACATTGGAATTTTAGTAGGACCCTTGACTCACCATCTTTTGAATATCAGCTGCTGAAATTAAAGCAATGCAGGAAAAGTTGTGCTCTGGTGCAAATGTGTATGTGGTTAGTTGGATCTAAATGGTTACAAAGGGGTTCTCTGTTAGTGAGGGGGAGGGGACAGTGAGAATGCATTCCCAAAAAAGTACATTCCCAAAATAAGCAGCTTACATCATAGACCTCTTCAGTTTTCCCACACTTCTTTCCTAATTATTGTGCTGCAGGACAGCTGATCTATTTCAAACAGGAAGTTGTTTACAGATAACACTTGCAACTGTTCTGTCTGATTTGTTGAACTGTCCAAAAGCAAAAGACAACATCTTTTCAAATTAAAAACTGTCAGATTTCTGTAAACAGCAGCATGAGGGTCATCTGTGCAATTTCCCTGCAGGCAGAGTGTGCTCTGCAGTCCCCATTTTCTCAGCAATCATAAGGTAGGAGAGACTTTTGTGGTTTTACTGATTAGAAGCATGTAAGGAGGAAAAAGTCTGGATGTAAGATAGATACTGGACATGTGAGTGGCAACATTCGAAGTATGTCTGACAACTGGTGTGGGTTAGGTGCAGGTTAAGAAACAAAGTTTGATGTACTGTATTCTGAGAGAGAATGTGGACCTTACTGCTTGCAAAAGCCTGATTTAGCTAAAAAAAATCGCTGTTTAACTTTGGGTTTGTAAGAGTGTCAAAGATACTTCTGAGCAAGAGAAAGCGAATTAAAATAAGATTTTTTAAAATTTTTGTTTTGTTTTTAACAACTGAAATTGAAATGTATTAACTTTTCATAGCCACTGGTTCTGATTTTAGTAATTTTAGCATAGCATGTTTGTCTGGTTAGAACACACATGATTTAATTGCCAGAGTGGCAGGAGAGAACTGGCTGTGATTCTTCATAACATAATCAATATAGCCACGTAAGACTAGAAATGCTAAACACATTTCTCAGTCTCTCTGTCTGTTCTGGGGCACCAGGATGTCTTCATCTATTACGAAAGATGAGTTTATAATATAGCCCCCAAAGCAAATGATAGAAGACATGTGGCAGTGGTGTCATACTGAAGTAGACTGTAGAGGATCCAATAATGACAGAATACACCAATGGCTAGTAAAGGGGTAACTCAGTAGAGATTGAGTCAAGGATAATTAGGACTGGGATTAGTGGTATATTGGATAAAGGGAAACTTTATTAAAATGAAAGGTTCATATATATGCAGCTTATAGATGTGGATATTGGCTGTGAGGTTTGGGAGGAGAAACGTTTCTTATAAAATTGAGTATCTAATTAGAGAAGTGAAATGCACCACTTTATTTTTCACTTCTCATACAAAGAAATAAAAGAAACTCCTGAGATTAAATGATTACAAATTACTAGTCACTAGTTACTCTGAAAATGTAACTGAAAGATAATAGCAATTTTTCTATTCTCAGCAGCTGGTTTTTGGAGTATTTTGGTGTTAGATATTTCATATTTACGAGCATGCTCATTTAAAGCAGTAAAGATATTGGAGGATGTAAACCAACCATTGATTTAAAGAAAAGATAATTGATGTCATTTTTATTAATCAAATGCCCAATCTTTCTATGATATCACTTATTAAAAATGTCTGTAAAATTTTGATTAAGATGCCTAAATGTATATTCTTAAAAAGGTATTGCATTTTAATTTTAATGCTTTGAAATCCAACTGATTTTGATTAGAACTGAAACAGATACCAGGCAAAAAGATGATATTGTGGCTCTGATCCTGTAGTTGATTCTGTGAATATTTTCTTCCATAATCTTTTCATTAATAGTAACCTGAAGGATTACTTGTAAGCTTCTGGGGCAGAGACTGACTTTTACTGTGTTTATTCAGTGTGTGACATAATGCAGTGCCGATGTTGGTTAGGGTCTCTAGACACTGCTGTAATACAAATAAGAGATTAAAAAAAATGTTTCTGACAAGAAGTGGGTGGCTTTTGTTTGTGGGTTTTTTACGTTGACTATGTCCCTTTAAGAATGTTTGATTGTCTTTAGAAAATTCACCCTAGATGTGAACATCTGCCAACATAGTCACCTAAAAATAGCGTGTTCTGTATCACTAACACTTTTAATAGGAGTATGCAAGTCATAATCCAGATTCATAGCCAAACCTGTGACTTTGCCTGATGACCAGTACAAAACTGCATTGTGGAAGCAGCAGAGTCCTATCACATAACTTGTAGTGGGGCTACCATGTTGAAATCTCTCTGAGTGAATTCATGTAGCTTTAAAAACTTCATTTTTACTCTACATAGGGATTGCTCAAAAGTTTTCAGTTTAAACTTTTTTTGGACAGGGGGTTTTGACACAACTTTTTTTGTAAAGTGTCTTTTCTGTGGAAAATTTCATTAGTTTTCTTTTTAACCAAAATATTTAAGCCAAAACTTAAAAGTATTTTGGCTAAAAATGGAAGTTGTAGTTTGCTGCAAATCCCCATTCTTCTCTATGGTCTGGGATCCCTAGCTGCACTACATCTCCTATACTACATCACCCTTTTGCAGAGGTAAACCTGTGCATTATGGGAGATGTAGTCCAGCTGGTGACCTTGGCCCATAGAAGAGAATGGGGACACGAGGAGCATACTACAACTCCCCAGAGGCATTACATCTCTTGATTTTGCCCCAAAACTTTCAGTTTTGCCAAAAACCCAACACTTCGTAAGGAAATCGTCCACAAAAATATTTTTTTTCCATTTTTTGGTCAAATTTCTGTGGGGGGAAAAATACTCTGTTCTACTCTCCCACCCACCCTTTACCAGCCCCCAAATAACTCAGAAAATTAGCCCAACTCTAGTCATCAGCCACCTGCAAACTAGCCAGCCTCTGAAATGTTAGCAGTTGAAAACTTCATCTGTGTTTGGAAAACCATGTTTGCTCATAGGCAGTGTCAAATCCCAATGCTTATCATGGATTCACTTCTATCGAACTAAGGTACTTCTGTGGCCTCCAGATCCTATAGTGATGAGCACCTCACCATCTTTAATGTGATCTTCACAATCACCTTGTGAGCACGGGCGGCTCTAGCTTTTTTGCCGCCCCAAGCACGGCAGGCAGGCTGCCTTCGGCGGCCTGCCTGCAGGAGGTCCCTGGTCCCGCGGATTTGGTGACTTGCCTGCAGGAGGTCTGCCGGTCCCGCGGCTTCGGCATACCTGCCGCCGAATTGCCACCGAATTTGTGGGCCCGGCGGACCTCCCACAGGCAAGCCGCCAAAGGCACCCTGCCTGCCGCCCTCGCAGGGACCGGCAGGCCGCCCCCTGCGGCTTGCCGCCCCAGGCACACGCTTGTAGCGCTGGTGCCTGGAGCCGCCGCTGCCTGTGAGGTAGGGAAGTGTTATCCCCATTTTACAGAAGGGGAACTGAAGGACAGAGAGACTGAGGGACAGATTTTTAAAGGTATTTAGGATTCTAAAGTTGTAATTAGGTGTATAGTGGGATTTTCAAAAGCACCTAGGAGCCTAACTCCCAATTGTGCTTTTCAAAATGCCATGAAGGGTGAGATCCTAAAGGGACTTAGGGGTACCAATGCTGAGCATCCCAGAGCCTAGAAAATGAAGGAACAACACTGATCCACAAAGCCTGAGTTGGACATCTAGGTTTCCTATACAACACATAGGGGGGGGAACAGAGATACCTACCAATACCATCTCAAAAAGCCAGCACACTAGGTGAGGGGGAGCTGCCTAAATTAGCCATGGGGAAATGTTGAGGGGGGAGAGAGGCACCTAAGTCCAGACTGCAGAGAGATGCCTAGCTTTGCTTAGCATTACACGAACGGGAATGTGCCTCCTGACTCCAGGTGGCTTAGGCACCTAAGCTATTTTTTGTGGGATTGAGTTAGGCTCTCCACACAAAACAGGGGGAAGAGGAGGTGGTGGTCCCCACCTCTAGAACTCTTAGCCTAGCAGTTAAAGCACTCATCTGGGATGTGGGGACCCAGGTTTAATTTTGCCCCCCCTTTACCAGAAGAGGAGAGAGGATTTGAACAAGGGGTCTCTTAAGAGTGCTGTAACCATTGGACTTTGGAATATTCTGATGTGGGGGCTCCCTCATTCTCTCCTGTTGAAACCATTCCATTGTGGATAAATAATGAAAGAGCGATTGGAGTAGGGGTCCCCAGGGTCCTCTACCTCCCAGGGAGGGTGCCCTAACCAGCAGGCAACAGCATCATTCTCTCTCTGGTGTTTGACACTCCTGTCATTAATGGGGTTACTGCAAGTAACCTTCTAGACCGAATCACAGAAGAGCAGGATCTCATAAAATGCATACAAGAAGTTGGTAGGAGCATGGCAGAAATCATAGAATACCAGGGTTGGAAGGGACCTCAGGAGGTCATCTAGTCCAACCCCCCTGCTCAAAGCAGGACCAATCCCCAACTAAATCATCCCAGCCAGAGCTTTTTCAAGCCGGGCCTTAAAAACCTCTAAGGAAGGAGATTCCACCACCCCCCCTAGGTAACCCAGAAAGGACCAGCTGAGAGAAGAGCCAGTACAGATATTAAAAAGGGACAGCACCCTATATAACCTGCACTGACTGTGAGTAGAGCTCAAGGTGTTGGTTTTAACCTCTAAAGCCTTAAATAATTTAGGAGTGGGTTATCTGCTAGCTCACCTCTCTGTGGTGCCATATTACTGCGCTTGAGCCCAGAACTTGAGCTAGAACTCTCTGCATGTAGAAAGGAGGAAGCTGCTGGTAGCTGTGGATCACGTTTCCCTGTGCAGCCATTTGGGGAGGATTCCAGAGTAGAAGGGCTTAGTTTATTAATATCCTGGCGTTTAAGCCATTACAGCGATATGGAAAGGTTGCCAATTTTCATGATTTTATTGTGAGAATTGGAATATTTGATATTTTTTGAAAGCCCTGGCTCCTAGAGAATCTCAGCTTTCATTTGTTTTTTAAAGTATAAGTTTATAGTGCTTGGGGTTGTAGAGAAGCTTGTAAATATGACCTGCATGCACCCTAAAGGCTCAGAAATCAAGGACAAACTAAAATAAATTGGCTTAAAAATCATGAGATTTTTTTAAAATCATGATTCTTTGCAGCTTGACTCATGATTTTTGAATACTTGGGGTTGGTAACAATGTAGATCCCATCCACCTGAAAGTGAATTTCACACCACTCTCCCCTGATCTTGCTACACAATAAAGAAACAACCTTTATGCCAATTTATGGCCAATATTTTCAAAAGCGTCCACTAAATTAGGGTGTCTCACTCTCTTGGTTCCTACAAATAAGTGCAACTGGCTGCCCTACCGAGGTCACATGCAGTCATTTTTACAGGGTTAGGGCATACCTGAGACAATGAGGGGACCTGGTTTTCAGAAGCATTGAGCACTTATAATTGAACCCTTGGGGAAGTTTGGGTGCTCAGCATAATTGAAAATTAGATCCAATGTGTCTCAAGGTGGGCACCCAAAATCAT